GGAACATGAAAGCCCAAGAATAAACCAGGCTTATTGTCATCACAGCCATACCAGACTTCTTTTGTGGTGTTTGAATACAACTTGAAAGAGGTGGAACTGGCTTTTGTGGGCTGTAAGAGGTGTTTCTGGTTCATTTCCGGGGACTCAACCAATAACCTATATTGTGAAGTCAATACAGACTTCATTTATGGGACTAGGATTACTGAGTTCAAGCATGTAACAGCTGGAGTGCTGTTGCTGCCAAGTTCTGTGTCAACATTCAAATGACATCCTTGCCAGTAAGTCACATTTTCTTGTTTATCTTCCCATCACCTTCAACTTGTTGAGCCGGGAATAAAGCATTCTTTCCCTGTGCTTTGTGTTCTGTGTTAATAAAGTCTTGTATGATATGCATTGTATGCTGAGTGAGAAAAGATTGTTTCCAAAGATCCCTTTTCTGAGATATATTTGTACAAAATATTTGGAATCTCTTTGTTTCTGCCATAGTTTGAAATGTGTTTGATGCTTGTGTGTAAACATTAGAAACGTGGATAATGAACCAAATGAAAATCTATGCATGAGTGGATGGCAGCCATCTCTGCATGCTGACTTCTGGTCATGTCAGCCCCATATGTGGTGGTTGTGTGCATTCTGACACATATACAGGGTTCAGCCTGGGTGAGCTTTTGATTCACAATATGGATGGAATCCTGTGTATGCCAATTAGATGCCTAAGGCCACCTCTACTGCTTGAGATGGCTGGAGTTCATCCTGGCTTGCTTTTTTCCTCCTGCTGCTGCTTATTGAAAAGTCCATGTGAAAAGCCCCTAAGTATTTTGCAAAAAACAGCTTGCTTATTATGTGGGCAATTCTGTTCAGTGGGCCTTAGGAAGGAGGTTGGACATGATTGCAAAACCGCAGTGCTTGGGATGGATTCTTTACAGGGCTCATCATGTAAATGGACCCCAGGCTGAGGAATGTTTTTGATGCCTCCTCCAGGGTTGCGAAGAGGGGAGCACTGGGAGGACAAAATTCATGGGGCCCAATTTAACTGGAGGACCCCTGAAGCCAGCATCATGCTGCATGCAGCCAAATGCATTTCCAGTGAGTTCCCCCAGCCACTAGGGGCGCAGGGAAGTCTAAACACAGGTAAAGGTGCTCTGACTATTAGCTAAACAGGCCTTTCTGCAAGACTGAAGCAAAGTTGCCTAACAGATCTGTCCAAGCCAGAACTGGAGCAAGACAAGATAGCACAATGATAGTTGCTACAGTAATTGTCAACCTAAAGCCTGCTAACAAGTAATTGCTCTCATAGTCTAGCCTTTCTGTCTTCCTTTGCTTGCCTCCAGCTCAGCCAGATCTTGCAAACCAATAGTTATTGTGCTGCAGCAAGATAAAATAACCTTTCCCTCTCTTTTCCTTAATTTCTGTCCTTCTTTTTCACCCTTTTCTCATTAATTTCTCTCTCCTTCCACCTAATTTTTCTGTGTGTCCCCCCATTTATTTTCAGAACTTGGTCTCAAGTCCTTCTTTATCTTGCTTGGCAACAGAATGTGCTTAATAATGGTATAGTAGTACACTTTTGTTACTATTATATTTCCCCTTAATCTAACTAAGTTGCAAAAGGATGCTTTCCCCCTCCTCCACCCTTTACATGCAAGGTAATGGAACATTAATCTATTTTAGTAGTTATACATGTGGAACAGAAGTTAGATCTCCCAGTTCAGGTACTGGGTTGTTATCACTGTATTGGTGGAAGATGTAATAGCCCTTTGAAAGGATACTTTGGTATATGACAACGATGTGATCTTTTTAATGCCTTTAAAATTAGATTTATAACAAATGCCATATTCAGTCTTTCTCCACAATGGAAATCCAAGGCTGCATTGTTCTCCAGCCTTCCATTTTATTCTCACAACAACCCTGTGAGGTAGGTCTGGCTGAGAGTGTATCACCCAGAAACCTCCTATGGGAGACTGGGGATGCGAGTATTAGAGTCACACGCAGGTTGCTTAAAAGCTCTCTTATTACATGTTGGCTATAGTGAAGATAACCTGGTTCAGAGTGTTCTAATTCACTTCATTTTTGCACTGCAACTTCCAGCATCATTCTGGGGCTGGTGGAAAGTTTTCAAATATGTAGGATTGTTTTCTGATGAGTTATACCTGCCACAAACAGAGACCCTGAGCTTCCACTGCAGATATCATGAGGGGATTGTCTGGAGATAACCAGGGGCAGGATGTTCTCATGCCTTTCCATTTTGGCCTCAGAACAATTGTCCTGAAGCTGGTGGCCAATTTTGAGTCTCCTGGTTGTATTCTCTGATGAGTTATGCCTGCTAAACTGTACATGGTAACAGCAAGCAACGTGAATTGTTTAAGATATTTGGTTTCTATCAGGGTGATGGGGGGATGTAATCTTTGTCTGGGGGCCCATGGTGGTTCTCAGCATTCCTATCCTCCTCCATTTGTTTGGCTTCCAAATACCTTAATTTTTTCTTTGCATTCGTTGTCCATTTCATGACTTTCATGCATGATTCAAATGCATGATGTAGCACTGTCAAATGAACATGGTGGTGTTTGATACTTACTAATTTCATAGTAATAGCACCATCACTCACATGCATGCTGTTTCCCGAATGGACAGTGGCACCGATGTCAATTTCCTTTTTTTTTTTTAAACCCCCGAAAGGGTATTTTTATTATTTTTCATAAGACTATTAACTACAATGAAAAATATAGGAGGGGGGACTACAACTAAGGGTAAAGGAAAGATACCCACACTAACTAAAATCCCAAGAGTAGGAGATCCTTTCCATGTTAGTCTGAATGTTAGTAATACAAGTGTTAGTGATGCAATATACTTGTGAAGTTCTTGTTTAACACAGCTTCTATAATAGTAAATATTTATGAGAGTACTTCTTGAGCATCTTCTTTACTTCAAAGAGCAATTTACAGAGTCCTTCTGCCCTTACTTCGGTTTTCTATCCCTAAAGTCATACACAGTTTTCGTTGCTCCCGCTCCACCGGCTTCCCCCACAGAGTCCTCATCCATTCCTGAAGTAGCAGAGTCACTTGACTTGGTTTCTTCATCTTTAAGTTCTTCCTCCGGCCCAAGCTGACGTCTCAAGAATTCCTTAGCTTTAAAGATGGAGTCAATCTTCTCTCTTTTATCGTTGACTTTAAAAATTACACATTCAGGAATCGCCCACCTGTACTGAATTCCATTAGTTTGAAGAAATGAGATCAATTCCCTGTAGCCTTTCCTCTTTTGACGAATTTCAAATGGAATATCTTTTTAAGTCCGATGTTGTCAATTTCCCAATGAATAAGAACAAAGCTAACAATACAACACTGGTCACACAAATCAATTTTCCAGTTTTTACAAGTGAAGGTGAACTGTTTGCCCTGTTCATTTCAGCTGTTGAGTAGATAACACTTGACAGGAGTCCAGATTGCCTGCCCATAAATCCAGCCCTGATTCCATATACAAAAAGTTTATATCTAAAAGTGATTCACCCAGAGTGGAAAATGTCTCTTATTAGCCCATTTCTTGGATGTTATAATGTCAGGAACTTTCTGTGGTGTTGTAACTAATCTATATAACCTGTCCGTCTGGCATTGAGTGACATGTGTACATATCAAACCACTGGCAATTCCTGATGTCTGCAGAGAAGTGAAATCATATTTGAATTTAACCTGGTACAGCTTTCTACAGAACTTAGAATATATTTGCCTTGCTTAGCCAAAATGTGCTCAGGTACCTGCAGTTTGAAACATTTCAGGTGTTCTCTACAATTATCTTTGCACTGCAGGCCTCATGCAGTTTTCTCCTTGTCAAATATTTACGTTGTCAACAAGGGGCCCTCTGCTCTATGCATATCTGCTCTGGACAGATGATTTTATATTGTATTTATCTTACTTCAACATTTCACTGGTTAGACATTAACCTAAATTAAACAGGCCTTTATCTGGTCTGTGCAGAGTTAGTGAAAGTTTTCTCATCTATGCAGCAGCCAGCCATACCGGGTAACCATTTTGCTCTTTTCTTGAAGCTTGCCTTCAGTGGCTTTGCCCAGGCCAAATTTACCTGGGCAGACATGTTTGAATCAATGGCTGTGCTGTGCAGCCACACCTCATTTTCCTCAAAATGGAAGCTTTAAAACAGAAATGAGATGAAGGATGGCTCTGTGCAGAGTTTCTGCCAGAATACAGAGATAAAGCTGTCCAAAGATGTTAGTGCAAAGGGGTAAAGATGTGGTTGTGGAGTGCATCTAATATAAGACCTGCAGAAGAGTGGTCTTTTTTGTGGCCCTTTGTGCAAGAGACTGCCAGTGGGCCCATTGTACCTTCTTCCCCTTCATTGGAACCACAAGGATATGCATTATATCTGCAATCATTATAATTATATAGGTCATTATTGTTCTCCCCCTCTTGCAGGTGGGATACAGAGACAAAGAGTGGCTAGTCCATTCAGGGCTGGGGTGAGATTTGAACCAGTGGAATCAAAGTAGCTTTATTAAGGCCCCTGCCACACGGCAGGGGAAAAGCCTCTAAAGGCGTGGCTTTTAAAAGCCGCGCCAACGTTGAGACGCCGCGGCGGGATCCCACAGATCCCCTGGCCGCGGCACCTTTTCTCCCCGGCACGATCAAACGCTGGGGAGAAAACACGGCCCTGACCAGGAGCCGGCCGAACTGCGCATGTCGGAGCATGCGCAGTTCGGCTATGGGCCGGGGTTGTGCCGGCGCAAGAACGCGCCGGCGATCAAACGTCCGGCTTGCCGCGCAGCTTCCCCTTGAACCACCAAGGTAGGTGGTTGCAAGTTGAGGTGGATTTTCGCGAGGAAGGGCCAGTTCGGGGACGGAAGCACGACGCTTCCCAGATGTTGTGGTGTGATCGCGCCGGTTTGATCCGCCCCCGAACTGTCCCGCTCCCGGCCCAAATCGCCTAGTGTGAATGGGACCTAAGAGCTGTATTCCCCTTGCTTCACAACCTTTTAAAATATATGTCTATATTTGAAGATTCTAGGACGCAAGCCAGAACTTCAGGAAGGCGATGAAAATGATGATGAAGCTGCTGATATCACCAACAGGAGAACTGCTAAACTGTACATGGTAAGAATGGAATCTTCTTTTCCCAAGGCTATGTTATAGTTAATATATGAACAGTGCCATCCTGAGCAGAGTTGTACCCTTCTAGATCCATTGAAATCAATGGGTTTAGAAGGGTATAACTCTGCTTAGGATGACAGTGTAAATCTGCTGCTCAGTTAGTGACAACTTAGTCTTATGCTGGAAGCCATGAGACATAAATGGGGAAAGATGGAGTAAAGTTGAAAAAAGGAAGGGCAGCTTGATCCTATAAGGCACTGGTTTGGATCCTTCCTAGAATTGGAGGTCTCTCGCAGGATGAGGGGATAGGTGAAAATTGCACCACCCTGAATCTTTAGAAATCTATGCTGCAAAGAATACACGTTCCAAGGTGGCATCGGGAAGGGGCATTATTTAGGCTACTGTATTAAATTAGTCATATTTTGTTACTGATCTTTGGTATTTTTGTATATTCTGACTCAGTCTAACCTATAGCTTGTTCACAATTTGTGTTTTGTAATTTCGTAATGACCAATGGCTAATTACAATAAACTAAACTGAAACACAAATCTGTGTGGAATTCAAGCCACTACTTTGAGGTATAAACTCTTAGAATCAGGCATTAGAGTCCTGTTGCTGTTTCCTGCCATAGCTAGGGTGATGCTTGGGACTGTTCTGATGCTAGCGTAGAGCAGCCACCTTTTAATTGCGGAAGTGATGTAGAATCCAAACGTGTAGTTGCACTTCTGTCCAACATAAAAACAAAAATTTTAGAGTAAAAATATTGGGGGGGGGCATATAAAGGAGCAATTTGCTAGTTCTTGTTGCTGTTTGGTTTTTTTACTCTTATGTTGCCAAAGAGTATAATTTCATTGTTCTGCAACATCAGGGCAAACACACACACCCCATTTAAAGATGTGTATATTTTCTGGCATTTATGGGGAAAGTTTTAAAGGACAGTATTTAATAAGCTCATTTTTACATTTAATAGTAGCACTGTTGTTCTATGGAAAAGCAATAAATACTTGTCTTTCAGGGAAGACATTTATTTCATTTTTTAAAAAATGTCTATAAATTGCAAAGGAATAAGCATTTTTCTTGCTCAAAAATCTAACACCTTCTTTCTGAAGTTCTCCTTTCTTAATGGAAGACAACTGAACCCTGTTGGTGGAGTAATTAACACATAAATGGTGCATGACCTGATTAAAGAGTAGATAGAAGGTTTAGTTAGGAATTAATATAGATAGGAAAGAGAAGAGACAGAGATAGGTTCCTAACTACATCTCTAGCTGAGAGAGAGGGTAAAACTGAGCGTGGCACTTTCGAGAAGAAGGGGGAAATTGCCCTAAGAGTCGCAATCTGGAGACAGACAAGGAATGACACTTAACAGGAGGGAAGGTGCTGACCTCAATATCCTATCTAATTGCTTCTTGCTGCTCCCTGTGAGGTCTTCTTCTCTTCTTTTTTGTACACCAGACATTGCCTTTTCGAACAAACCAAACCCAAGGGCCTAATGGAACCATGGAATAATAACCAAGTAGAATTGGGGGGATCCTACTATCCCTTGGACAGCATTGTAGCTGCAAAGACTGGAACAAAGCTGTACTAAGCATCACAGAATCTCTGAAAACTGTTGTCTTCTGGAAGGCACGATGCAGCCTGAAAGCTCTGCCTTATACCCTAAACATTAGATCAGATGTAGAGTTGCCAGGTCCAATCATCGTACCAGCGGGGGGATTGGGGGGCATTCTGGAAGTGTGTGGGGACATTGTGCAACATTTATATGTCACCCAGAAGTGGCATAGGCATGCCAGTGACATCAGGGGTGTTGCTCTGGTTTTTGGGCAAAACTCTATGGTAAAATTGCCCTCAAACTATAAAGTTTTGCCCCCAAATCAGAGCATCACTCCCCCTATGGCACTTCCAGATGACAGTGCGTCGCGCATGACATCGCTGTTTTTTGGGGGGGATTTCCTCCTGATGGCCATCTGGCCACTGGCAGGCAGGAGCCCATGAAAATGGGGGATCCTCCGCCCTCACCTGGGGAATGGTAACCCTAATCAGATGTGATCAGTGGTGCTACTTGATCTGTGCAGTTTAAGCTAATCTATGATGGCAGGATGTCAGGCCATTTTTATATAAATGCTCATGTAACTAGTTTGTGATGTGGTCTGTATCAATATGGGGGGGGGGAGGATGCTGCAGAGGGAACTAGTTTTTTGTGGAGTTGTTCATATCATTTAAATGGGGACAGTCCATCTGAAAAGCTTCATTTAGGCTCTGTTCACAGAGCGAATTTGCCCCGCGGGAGGGACGGCTTGCCTGCAGATTAAAGCTGTGCAATCATACCTGAACATCTGGGAAACATCGCACTCCCGTCTCTAACCCTCAGCTTCGGCCCGAAGACGCGGATTTAAAAGCTACCGGGAACCATGTACTGTTTCCCGATAATGCACGGTGCGTGCGGGCGTCTGATCAGGAAGCGGTGGTAGCCCATCAAAGCCAGCGCCCGTTGGCATTCCACGCATGCGCACAAACGCCTTGCTGCTGTGTTGCTTAGTGTGGTGTGATCGGCTGCCGGAGGCTTGGGCATGGAGCCTTGAGGGACGGTGAGATCGCGCTACCGCGCGTCTTTTTGCTCCGGCTCAAAAAGCCTCCCGTCCCCTGCGGATTATCCCGCTCGTGTGACCGGGGCCTTACTTGGCTTTAATTTTGCCATCTCTTGGTTTAGTTTTTACTGTATCTGACACTGTAGTGACAACTGAGAAAAGATCAGTATATTATACTGTGAGAAAAGAAGCCAGCACAATCATGAAGCATAACAGCACAGCTCCCTCTTTTGGTAAGAAAGTGGGATGTTTTGTGTACTTTCCTGAAGTAACTGTGGTAGGGATAGCAAAGTATTAGCATATTGTGTATTTGCGTGTGACAAAAACAGTTTTAAAAGAAGGGGATCACATTAAGATGCACATATTCAGACATAATACAGCTAAAACAGTACAGTGTCATTCAACTGGAAACTATTACTTTACACTGAGAGTGATTAAAATTTGGGATTCACTGCTAGTGGATGTAGTGATGCCCACAGCAATAAACAGCTTTAAAAGGGGATTAGATAGATGCATGGAGGGTAAGTCTATCAATGGCTACTAGCTATGGTGACTGAGGGAACCTTCACATTCAAACACACTAAACCTCTGAGTCCCAGAGCCAGGAGGCAGCATTAGGGGAAGGCTTCAGCTTCTGTGCCCTGTTGCTGGCCATTCAGAGGAACTGGTTGGCCACTGTGTGAGACAGGATGCTGGCCTAGATAGACCATTAGTCTGATCCAGCAGGGCTGCTCTTATGTTCTTAGGAAACAATCTGTTTAGTTAGAATCTTTAGCAAGTATTTGACAAGGCTTTCCCCCCTCTTTCTGAACTGTCAGATGCTGATAACATCAAATAACTATACTAAATTACTATCAGTTGAGATTCACTTTCTTCTTGCCTCTCTGTGGGAGCAACTAGATGTAATGTCAGAGGTCTGTGAGGTTTAAAAGGCCCTGATCAGGATTGACACTGCAGTGTGAGGTGGTCGTAGAGATGGTGAACCCTTTCCTCTTGTATAATTTTCCTCATAAAAATTTGGTTCTCACAAGCTAAGATTAGCCCTGATATGAAAAAAACCCTATTATGGCTATAACAGCTTTGGGGGGGGGGGGGTAAGCACTTCTCCCTCATCCTGCACTGCAGCTGTGATCCAAACTTCCCACCCCACCTGCTTAAAAGCACCTCAAAAGACCCAACCGTGGATGGATCTCCCCGTCTCATCGAGTTCTGCCCTTGGTACTTCTACAAAGCTCCCCTGTTCCCCTTCTCTTCCTTATAATTCTGTGTAGTCACTCCCATTTTCCTCCCATTGTCTGCCATGGAAAACATCATTTACAGTAAACTCACACTAGGATACTTGTTCCATAGTAAAGGTAAAGGTTCCCTTGCTCGAAAGCCAGTCGGGTCCGACTCTAGGGTTGCGGTGCTCATCTCCATTTCCAAGCCGAAGAGCCAGCGCTGTCCAAAGACGTTTCCATGGTCATGTGGCCAGCATGACTAAACACCAAGGCGCACGGAACGCTGTTACCTTCCCACTGAAGTGGTACCTATTTATCTACTTGCAATTTCTTGCTTTCGAACGGCTAGGTTGGCAGGAGCTGGAGCCAGAGACGGGAGCTCACTCCGTCATGCAGCAACCTGGGTCTCGAACTGCTAAACTACTGACCTTCCACAGCCTGCAGTTCAGCATCTTAACCACTTGAGCCACCGCAGCTCCATACCTGTATCCATATTCAGAACTCAGTGACACCAGTCCTTTTTCCCTTTCCTATTTGGAGATGACTTCTCAAGAAATATATTCTTCTGGAGGAAAAAAGAGAATGAGGGTCCCATATACCTCAAAGGATATTTATTATAATGAGAAAAGAAAGTTGCAGCCTCAGATGGTATGGTTAACTACAAGAAAAGCTAGAGAAACTAGCTGCCAAGTTTCTGTCTTTTTAACATCTCCTGTTTAGCCTGTAAGTTGGTTTAAAAAGCATTAGTAATGCTGAATGTTCAACACAAGCAGTCCATCGGCCATTAACAATTCAGTGGTTCTTGAATGGTTGATTTTGTGTAAACGTGTCCCTTCTCTAAGATCAGGGGTTAGCTATATGAGCATAACAGTAGCACAATCCAAACAAGGTTACTTAAATACTGGATCTGGATTTTTGAGCTGGTATAAACATGAGCTTCTTGTATTGTCAGGTTTCGGATGCAAGTGGGTCGATGAAGATGTCAGTTGTGGCAGAAGAAAACCCCTTCTCAAGGGCCATGCTTTTGTCTGAAGAGTGTTTTATACTGGATCATGGTGTAGCGAGAAAGATATTTGTATGGAAAGGTCAGTAACAAATCTCTTTACTTCGCTTTTTTAGATTTGTTAAAAAAATTATCAATAGTTTCTGTGTGCAGAGCCAGAGCCCCATGTGGAACACTTGTAGGGTCTCTGTTCCTTTCACTTGGTGGACTCAATCTGAGCATTCAAAAGAATCATCCTGCACTGTGATTGATTCCCAATAAGCAGGGAAGTTGTTACAAGCAGGAGAGCTTTGTTCAGGTATTGCAGCTCCTGTTCCCAGAACCAGTCATTGGATCATGGCCAGTGTGTTGAGGGTGTCAGGCTAGGATTAGGAAACCCCTGCCCAGATTTTCATTGTGCCATAAAGCTCACTGATTTTCATTGTGCCAGAAAGCTCTCCATCAGCCAAACCTACTTCATCAGGCTGCTATGAGGATAAAATGAGGTAGAGGAGAATAGCATCATCCTGAGTTCTGTGGGGAAAGGATGGGATAAAAATGTGTGAACAGGTAAATAAGGTAACCGCTTTAACCATCCTTAACTTTCATCCCCACATATTTTCCATTCCTCTGTATTTTGTATTTCATGATGGGAATTGATGCTGAAGGATGGTGACTTGCCACCAAGTGAGTTTATGGCTAGCTAATGCCACCCTGGTTTCCTGGGGTCCAAGTCTGGCTTCGGAAAAAAAAAAACAACCCACGGCTTTCAGTATAACACACAATAAGGATTTTGGTTCCTCCATTCTCTGCAGTTTTGCTGTTTTCTTTTTGCCTTGAGCCTCATGAAGCACCATGCCCAGAAGACAATGTGTTTTGGTAGGCCACCTTTGGTACTATGGGGAAATGAGCAGTTAGTAAGAACTGATTGAAAAAGCACACAAATTAGGGAAATAACTGGATTGGTTTAATTCCAGCTATTATTGCACATTCCTTTGTCCAAAACAAATACCATTGTCAAGATCACTGAAAACCCCAAGTTCTACAGTTTTTACATATGTGAGTTTTTGAAACTGATATGAAGCCTTTTCAGTGTGCAAATTGCTGAGCTGTGGACCAGAATACAACACTGAGTCCTGTGTCTGACAAGATTTTTTTTAATTACAAGTCTGGAAGTTTGCCTGATTTTCCACTACTGTAACCCTCACTGCTCTTTTATTTTAACAAGGTAAGGATGCTAATCCAAATGAGAGAAAAGCAGCCATGAAATCTGCTGAGGAATTCATACAGCAAATGAATTATCCTGCCAACACCCAGGTATGTTGCACGGTGCGCGTAGGACAGCCTGAGTGCCAGTAGAAGATATCAGCCAGCCACCAGGACTATTTCAGCCACTCCAACTCACCAACCACACTCCAGCACTCAACTGCAACTCCAGTTCTGTATAGCACCACACAAGACAGTCCTGTGGTAAACTATATACAGATTTTATTTACAGAATATACAATCCTCGGACAAAATGCTCCGCCAGTCACCATCATTTAGAGAAGAAGAATACAGAGGTAGCACTTGTCCACATATATACATGTTGTCAACCAATCAGCTAAGAGCTGAGTCATTGTCACTGGCCTCACACCATAATCTGGTCCAAACCGGCCAGGACAGGTTTCCAGCAGTCTCCCTGCTGACAGTTAGATCACTATGATCTGACAGCTGATATTAATATTACAACAAGGTATGCCTATGAGAGGAGTGAGAGGAGAATTTTCACTAGAATTCAAATAATTCCTAGAGTTACAGTCAATGCTCCCTCTAAGCTGTTGGAGTCTTGTGAGCAAAAATTATAGTCTGTGAGCTACTGGCAATAAAGTTCTGAGCGAGGGATTTGGCTACTACATAAATTAGTTTGCTCTGGAGCCATCCTTCCTGAGTTAAGACAAAAATGTGTGAGCGGGAGGCTAAAAAACTGTGAGCTAGCTCACACTAACTCAGCTTAGAGGGAACACTGGTTACAGTGACACAGCTCCCCATAGCCAGTCACTGAGGGGATGGGCTAAGGGAGAAGATGAATGTAATATTTAAGGAGCATCAGATTCTCTCTGGAAGCATCCTCGCTTTGTTCAAGCCAAACATACTTATTCCTTTCCAGACTTGAGCTTGGGAGGGGGGAATGGTTCTGCATGTGGGTAACTGAAGTTGACTGTGTACCGTGCTAATGGCTGCCCCCTGTGAGGTCGTCAAGAAGACTGTTGTTTCTTTTGGAAAGTCCGGGAAACCCTGTGGCTGAAGGACATGCAAGGAGCTCTCTTTCTGTATTGTGCCTGACTTCGTCCTATGAGTGTAAGCTAGACAGCCCCAGGTAAAATCTCAGTCCAGTCCTGAATTCAAAAGGTGACCTTTGACAACTTACTATTTTCTCAATCCTTTCTGAAAAGGGGAGGTATTATTTCACAAATAAGCTCAAAAAGGGAGAGGTGAACCTGCTAGCATAGCTAGTATTTGTCTGTCAGCTACTTAAAACATTCCTCTTCACTGTTCATATAGATTAGCACCACTGG